GTTGTGGCCCACCAGCGGCCTGTGCAGCTGGTAGCTGATTCCGACAGCGAGGATGCTAGTGTGGTGATTCACAGCAGCCTGTGCAGCTGGCACCCGAGTCAGACAATGAGGAGGCTGGAGAAGATTTGGTGCCAGAGGTGGGGATTCAGCCAGGGCCTTCAGAACCTCCAGAAGCTCCCATAAGTGAAGAGGAAGAAGAGGAGGAGCCTCTTCTCAATGCACGGGCGCGCAGAGCTGCCAAAAGGCAGGAATGGCTCCTCAGGAGGAGGTCTCCTCGAGAGTAAGGCTTGGGGCTAATTGGCCACTCCTCTAGCCTATTTAAGAAATGACGACGACTGAGGCAATTTGCAGAAAACAACTTTGTTCATATTCTTTTGCGTATTGACTCCAGAAACGTCTGATCGGCTCTTGCTTCTCTCTTGTCATTTTTCCTGCAAATTGCTTCTGGGCAATTCTGCCAACCACAGTAAGCTTACGGTTATCTGAAAGACTGTGCTTCAGAACTGAGTTATTATTCCTTGGACTCTTGTCGGTTGTTAATGAAGTTAAATTAACAGCCTTTGTTCAGAAAAGACTGATTTAAACTGTACTTGTGTTTAAACAACTACTAAAAAAGCTCATTAGTAGTCCTTAATTAGTAAACTAAGGTTTGTATGGCCTTTGTGTGTGCTGCGTTCTTTGTGGTCCGTAGCTGGGGCAGAACAGGTCCAAAGAAAATATCTGAAAGAACACACAATTTATTTAGGTGAATGGAAGTAATGCTTCTTCATCAAAAGTTTTTTTTTTTATAGGGGAGGGAACTAGGCCAATGTCTTGTAATCATTATTATGATGCTTAATGAGTTCAGACCAATTCTATGCATAATTATTGTTAAGATAAAATATGAAACTAATGATTTGAATGTTTCTTATTTTAGGCTCCTGAAATCTCTTAATATTACTAGTTATTAATATTATTTGAAATAGGTCCCATTCATCAAGTGTGAGTTACTGTCAGAAAATATGATTTTTTTGGATTAACATTGCATTTAAAATGTAAAATCGAAGTCAATTCAAAAGTTACAGAAAAGAATTTGATGCAATATAGAAATTAGAATTTAGATAAATATTGAAAGGCATAAATATGGGATAAGGGCACCACTGTGTATATTTTTCAAGAAGTGTTCCCTGGTGCATCTTACGTTACATTGTATGAATACAGAACAGTACACACAGATACATGTTTAGTTGAGTGAGACAGTTTCCTCATTTGTAATAAATATTATTGTAGGAAGCCCTCCCCCCCCAGAATAACATATTTCAAAGAATAAGAAAAGAAATATAATATAATATAATATTTCCCGTAAAATCTCCTTAACAGAAGCAGAAAGCAGTCCCAATGTTTCCTCCACTAAACCAACTTGCAGGCAAAACTTAAGGAAACTACGTTGTACATTGTAAAACCGGATTTGGCTAAAGCATCTCCAAATAGATGGCAGAATAGACCAAGAGTGGAAACTGACAAGATTAGGCTGACAGGACTAGATCTTGGCTCTTCTGATCCTTGCCTGGGCGGTCTTCTGTTGAAACACCAAACAAAAACCAGGTTTAGGCAATCAATGTTTAATCTGCAACAACCAGGCATCAGGAAGAATCAAGTACGAGGGTACAAAGTCAGCGCTGAATGTTGAGTTTCGTCAGCCCTTTTTGAAAGCAGCGCGCTGACCGTGCCCACGCCCCACCCACATGCATTCTTCTTTCCCAGCTGATCCTTGTTCCGGAGCAGCAGTAGCCCGCAGTTTGCTCCGCTGTCGGACTTCCGCGTTCAGGTGTTGCAGATGAGTATCTGTCCACATGCGAACCTGACCCGCAGCCTAAGCACAACTTATAGTGACCACCATCACCAGAAGTAACCGAACCCGTCACCACTGCTAACCCAAGTGTTTGGTAAGCGTCCCCCTCTTTCTTTATGTGGATTCGCTGGACGCCATTGGATACCTCTCCCTCCGGCAAATATGTCGAGCTGATGTCGGGCTTGACACTAGATCAGGGAGACAAATAACTAGGACTTGCACTTATGCCTGTTTTTCACACTTATGACCATTGCAGCATCCCCTTGGCCACGTGATTAAAATTCAGATGCTTGGCAATTGATTCCTATTTATGATGGTTGCAGTGTCTCAGGGTTATGTGATCCCCTTTTGTTACCTTCTTACAAGCATAGTCAACAGGGAACCCAGATTCACTTAACAGTGTTGTTCCTAACATAACCACTGGAGGGATTCGCTTAACAATGGTTGCAAGAAAAGTTGTAAAATGGAGCAAAGCTCACTTTTTCCCATTACCTTTAGGGCCGGTCACGACCTTGCAGATCATAATAGAAATCTCGCAACACAATTAAATAATAAATGACAAACAGACCCAGACATCTCAATTACAAAGCTCCCAAAATATATAAAAACTCTTCTACTGATCAGACCAGTTTTCCAGCTGCCCCCAGAAATGCTTGCTGTTGTCATTGCTGTCTCTGGGCCAATAAACCTCCTTTCCAATTGCAGCCTGCTTCAGAGTTTTTATTGGTCTGTGTTTCTCTCCTGGCTTGAAATAAGATACGGATCAGATTTAACTTCCAACATCATTTACATGCAAGATGTTTTGCAACCTTTTGTTTTTAATACTGTATAGGATTTAGTATGTTTTCAGGTGCACAAGAATTGTGCTGCATTAGGTTTATTTTTATCATGTACATAGGATTGTGAGTGCTATGAGCATTGGGGTAGGTGCAGTGGTGGGTTGCTACTGGTTCACACCAGATCGGGCGAACCGGTAGCGGCGGTGGCAGGAGGCTCCGCCCACCCACCCTGACGCTTCCATGCATACGCAGAAGCTTCCGTGCATGTGCAGAAGCGTCGCGCGTGCACCCACAAGAAAACTGATAGCGACAGGTTTTGAAACCCACCCCTGGGTAGGCATCAATCACTGTCAATGACAAGTACTTTGGAAGCTGGTTTAAATTGTCAGGGAGGCATCAAGTTACCTACCTATGCTTTAATGAAGTGACTTAAAGTAAGTTGTTTTCAAAAAATACTTCTTGTTGCATAACTTTAACAAACTGAAAGACACCTATCCACACCAAGAAAAAATCAGATTACCAGTTTCTAAAAAAATATATCTAGCTTTGCTTTTAAGAAGAAAAAAATCAAAGGAACATTTGAAATGGTGCAGCATAACTAATTCCTATTTCTTACTGTATTTGGAATCTACATTTTTGTAAGAATTAAGCAAAACAAAACTTTTAAGTTAATTTTTAAAAATTACTTTTTAAATTAGCCTTTGAAAAATATAAACAAAGTAGAATGCATGAAGTATAAAATTGAGGGGAATACTTAAGTGTTGTGTGAAAATGTTAATTGGAAGCTAACATTTGCGTTCAGAGCAAATGACTTCTAAATATTTTTCCATGTTCACACTGTGCTGGATACCTTTGGGAAATTAGTGGCTAAATTGTGACAACTGTAGTATAGTCTGAAGAATTGATGCATAAGTATAGAAAAAATTAGTAGGTGTAGTTGGTGCTTTTACGTGAGGCATACAAAGAAATTTGTGGCTAGAAGAAAAAGATCATTGTACTTCTAGTTTGGTATGCTAAAAATATCAAAGAAGAAATAGTTGGTGGTATTTGGAACCATTCCTATGAAGTTATACAGTAACTATTGGTTTTAAAAAGACAATCAAAGTACCACATGTGAAGTCTCTTGAGAAGCTTTGGTCATTGTAGTCCGTGGTGCCATTGTATGACAAGGTAGGTTAAATATGACATAAAAGAAAGAATAGGTTCTGTGAATATTTATTTTTTATCTTACTTAAGCTACTTATGAACAATGGACAATGAGTAAAAAAAGTACTGTACAAATAGATATGCTCATACCAATTAATATACAACTAACAGATATGGGTTTTTTTAAAAAGAAATGTTGCCAAAAGTGTAATCCATATTAAGTAACATAGCAAAGATAGTGAAAGGTTAATAGCACAGTGTGACATCTAATTATAATCTGAAAAGGGACCATGGACGGTACCATTACAATATATAAAGATAGGACTCAGAATACTTCTTGGGCTGTTAGAGAGTACAGACCTAGAAAGGGTAGCAGTGGACAATATCACAAGTTTGCCTTCTGATAGAGTATTTATGAATTGTTATGATTAAATGATGAATTAAAAAAACAAACAAGAAAACATTTAAATGCATATTTTAAAGTAAGTTATTAAGAAAGTTTGTGGATTATCAAGCTTCATGTGTCAGGTTTTAATAAACAAATACTTGAATCATAATCATATTTGAAATAGTAATTTTTTGGACCGGGGGCATATTTAAAATTTTGAAAAAATTAGTTGGGCCTAATATGGTGGGTCTAAACATCTATCTATGTGTTCATTATAATGCAATTAAAAGTATCAAATGGACAAAATTAATTATCAAACATCACTAGAATTTGAAATCCTCCGCTGAAATCTTGTAAGATATTAGAGAGGAATCCTAATTGTGTATAAAGTTTGGCATTTTTAACAGTTTCTGGCATTTAAATTTTTATTTTAGTGTTCATATCTGGGACTGCAGGTATAATTTACAGTTGTAAAATGGTATCTCAAATTTTTCATAAGTTTTGGATACATTTTCATTCCGTTCTTTAGAATTTCTGAATGGCTTGTTAATGTTTGAGGGAGTCACACTTGAAGTAATCTTGCAGATCTGATTTCTCAAGCATTGGATGAAATTTTTGTTTTAAAAAGAGTTCCTTATGAATGCCAAATTGCAGCTAAGTGGGTCTCTCTCAAATCTGAGTTCCCTTGCCCAGGAATTTACTGTAAATCCTAAAATGCTATTTCTTTCATGTCTTACAAATTTTGTAAATTGCAGTTTTGTTCAAGGGGGCATTTAAATTCCAAGGAGTTAAATACATACAAACAACAAATTAGGTTTTTTTAAATATTCTTTTGATTGTTCCTTTTTCTTCATAGAGTGATCAATGCAGGGAAAAGTACACATAATGAGGACCAAGCAAGTTGCGAAGTGCTTATGGTGAAGAAGAAAATTGGGACAACTAATTCAACACCAAACAGAAATTCCTCTAGTAAGCGGAGATCATCATTGCCCAATGGGGAAGGATTGCAGTTGAAAGAGAATTCAGTAAGTCTCAGTATCTTCTCAGTGATTCAGCAATACAATTGGTTCACCTATAAACATTTTGGTACAAGAACACACACACGCACACACACACACCCCTTGTGTTTTCTTAACAAGTTTATCTTCTTTCCTAAAATGTGAGCAATATTGCTGTGAAACATACTACTAGAGGGCACTGTTACTCTGCAAGTTCAAGCATTTTGTTTTTTAGTCCATACTATAAGTATGGAATGATGAAACTGAATAAAGTAATTATAGCATAATTATTACTATACTAAAAGTATAATAATGCACAATTACATGTTGCTGGAGGTGAGAGTTCCTCCACTCTAAAGCATTTGTTTTATCTGTGTGCTAAAGATCTTCCTGTGTGCTGTATTAACATGTAGCAATACACGTGAGACATTCTAGATGTGGTGTTTAGACGTATTAGTGAACGTTCCTTAAAAGCTTAATGAGTTTTTAAGGAAAAGATTGTGCTGGATTCTTGACAAACCTATATGAATTGGATGTGAGCCAAATGCAATTGCTGATTCAACTTGAACAGATGAGTTGAGCTGATTTGACAGTTTAAGATTAAATCTCCAAATCATATATAGACATATTTATATCTATGCAAAATAAACTGCCCTTGTGGATAAGAACAACTTCAAATGTTTTTCAGAGTTTGTTCACAAAATCTTCTTGTACATGCAGAAAACAAAGTAGATTGTAGAGCTAGATCAAGATGTATGTTATGCTTAGATTCTCCCCATATATTCTCCTCCCTCAAAACTATCTCAATGATTTGGGGAAATGTATGAACCTACTTTTATTCTACTAATGGGAGAGTCACAATGAAATATTTCCTAAAAAATAATTCTTTCCTTAAACAGGAATCAGATAGCATCTCTTTTCATTATTGGTCATTATTTGATGGCCATGCTGGATCTGGAGCAGCTGTGGTAGCCTCCAAGTTGCTGCAGCATCATATTGTAGAGCAATTGCAGGAGATTGTGGACATCCTGAAAAACTCTGCTGTTCCACCCCCAACCTGCCTGGGAGAAGAGCCAGAAAGCATGAATGCCAACAGCAGAACTCTAACCCGGGCAGCCTCATTGAGAGGAAGTGTTGGAGCTCCAGGTTCACCTGGCACTCCACCTACTCGCTTCTTTACAGAAAAGAAGATCTCGCAGGAATGCCTTGTCATGGGAGCTATTGAAACTGCATTCAGGGAAATGGTAAGTATAGTTTGGTACTTCAGGCAATCATTTTGCACTCAAAATGGAGTGTTTCAAATTGAAAAAGTTTCAAAACTCTTTGCACCTTCCTATTCTATTCCATTACTATCCCCAATCTTTATCAACATCTTCATCTATTATATACACTCATGCTGAAGTCTCTGTGGATTGGCACTACTATGGTTAGAACATTTCAGGAAATGGTTCAATAATTTTAAGGTTGAAAACGTCTCTTTTCCTTAAATTTGATATATCTGTTGCCAGTTTCTTTCCCTCCCACCCTTCAAAATCGGGACAAAAATTCATAATAGAATTTTGAGCGGAGTTCCAATGAAGATATATATGGAATGGGATATATATGTTACAGAGAAAAAGGAGGTCAACTCTTTATAGATTTTGTAAAACTCTTCCTCTTTTGTCCATTAATCATCGCATGACTTCCAATAATTAGGACCTGAATTTGTTTTATAATTAGAAGAGTTAACATCAACATAGATTAGATTATTCACCCCCCCCACTGCTGCAGAATATAAACTAAAAATAACTGCATCCAATTAGGATGGAGATACATATTTATGTATGTATGCATGTATGTATATGTGTGCGTGTATATAAATTTATTTTTCTTTTATTTATTAGAATTTGTCAAATTTCACTTGAATCATAATCATTTTTTTCTCATTAGTACCCCATAATGACAGTGAAAACAGAATTTTAGAAATGTCTGTAAATTTATTAAAAAGAAAAAACTGAAATATCACATTGGCATTAGTATTCAGATCCAGTGCAACAACACTTGAAATTTAGCTCTGGTGCCCTCCATTTCTCTTAATACTTTCTGACATATTCCCACATCTTGATTGGGTAAATTAGGTTAGGTAAAGTAAATTGATTGGACATGATTTGGAAAGGCATACACCTCTCTATAGAAGGCCTCACAGCTGACAATGCATACTGTAGCAGAGCAAAAGCCATGAGGTCAAATGAACTTTCAGCAGAGTTCAGACACAGGATTATTGCAAAGTGCAAATGGAGGGAAGGCTACAATATAATTTCTGCTGCACTGAAGGTTCCTAAAAGCACAATGGCCTCCATAATTCTCAAATGGAAAACGTTTGGCACAATCGGGACTTTTCCAAGAGCTGGTCACCCAGTCAAACTGAGCAATCGGGGGCCTTAGTAAGAAAGGTACCAATAATCTGATGGTCACACTGACTGAGTTCCAGAGATCCTGTGTGGAGGTGGGACAGAATTCTAGAAGGACAACAATCACTGCAACCTCCACGGATCTGGGCTTTATTGCAGAGTGGTTTGACGGAAGCCACTCCTCAGTGCAAAACACATGAAAGCCTGCTTGGGGTTTGCAAAAAAGCATCTGAAGGACTCTGAGACCATGAGGAATAAGATTTTCTGGTCCCATGAAACCAAGATTGAACTGTTTGGCTTCAGTTCTAAACGTTATGTCTAGAGGGTAATGGGCACTACTCATCACCTGCCCATCATCATCTCAACAGTGAAGCATGGTGGTGGCAGCAGCATCATGTTGTGGGGTTTTTTTTCAGCAGCACGGACTGGAAGCCTGGTCAGGGTTGAGGGAAAGCTGAATGGAGCAAAGTACAGGGATATGTTCAATGAAAATCTGTTCCACAGTGGTCAGGACCTCAGACTGGCCGAAGGTTCACTTTCCAACATGACAATGATCCTAAGCACACAGCCAAAACAATACAGGAGTGGCCTAGGTACAACTTTGTGAGTGGCCCAGAGTGGCCCAGCCAGAGCCCCCCATTGAACATCTCTGGAGGGACCTGAAAATGTCTGTCCACTGATGGTCACCATCCAACCTAACTAAGCTTGACAGGATTTGCAAGGAAGAATGACAGAAAATCCCCCAATCCAGGTGTGCATAGCATGTTGCATCATACCCAAAAAGACTCGAGACTGTAATTGCTGCCAAAGGTGCTTCAATACCTTTGGTTGACTCAGCCTTCCATCCTTTCTAAGGTAGGTAAAATGAGGACCCAGATTGTGGGGGCAATAAGCTGACTTTGTATAAAATATACAAAAGTATGAAGGCTATTGCTTAACGCATTGTAAGCCGCCCTGAGTCTCCGGAGAAGGGCGGCATATAAATCAAATTAAACAAAAAAACAAAAAAACAAAAAACAAAGTACTGAGTGAACGGTCTGAATACTTATGCCAATATGATATTTCAGTTTTTTCTTTTCAATAAATTTACCAATATTTCTAAATTTCTGTTTTCACTTTGTCAATATGGGGTACTGAGTGTAGATTAATGAGAAAAAATGAATTTCAGCAATTGTAGAATCAGACTGCAGCAGTGGTAAAATTCAGCCGGCTCTATCCTGGATTGCGCGATCTGGTAGCGCTGGTGGTGGGAGGCTCTGCTCACCCGCCCATCCCTTTTTTGACCCTTTGCGCATGCATGGGCTCTGCACATGTGTGGAGGAAGCACATGCTCTCACATTTGCGAACTAGTAGCGAAGGTAAGTGAATACCACCCCTGGACTACAGCATAACAAGATTGACAAAAGTAAAGGGGATCTGAATACTTTCTGAATGCACTATAGATGTCTCTGAAACTTTTGGTCCTTGATATTTTGGCTTCATCAAAAAGTACACAGTTCATACATGAGTCAGGAGGTGGCCTCATTGTGTAGTGTAGCATTTACTGTCATAAAGCTGTAACTGATTAAATGCTATTAAGCCATCTGTGTTGAATAGTGCTGGATCTTATTTTTGAGAAATGCTATTTTCACTGCAACTGTACCCTGTTTTAATCATCTTTAAGAGTACTGTGAGGACCTGCTGAAACACTAATCTTGTATTTCTAGTGTAAGAATATGAAAAGGCTGAATGGGAACCTTTTTACAGGCATTTCATACAAGTTTTTGTACAAGGGGTGTATTTGTAGGAATTGGAAGTAGATGAAGCATGGGCCTGTTTGACATTCAGCTTTTCTGAACACACATACAAATACACACACACACACACATACACACACACACACACACACACACACACACACACACACACAGAGCATGCCCCATTCTTCTCTTTAATCCCATGTGCATAGATGTTGTCTACTCTGCAGTCTTCTGTACCTTGGAATGGACATTTCTGCAGTGGGGAATCCACTCTACTTTGTACATTGCTCCATGTGATTTAAAACTCTGGATTTCTGGATTTCAGATTAATAAAAGACTTTAATCAAAGGTGCTCAACATGTAGGCCTAGGATTTATGAGTCACAAACTTAGTTTGTGTCAAGATGGCTCCCAGAACTCTTGTATTGTCAGATTTTGGAAGCAGAAAAATTAATATAAAAATGGTCTTTTAAAAAGCAATTCCTGTTCTTCATATTGGTAAAGTGAGTTGATTTTCATTTCAGGCTGTTCAGTTTGCTGCAAAACAGAAAGAACAGAAACAACAAGGAAACTGTTAGTATACTCTAACAGTGGATACAGGTAGTCCTCGATTTACAGCCATTCTTTTAGTGACCGTTCAAAGTTACATTGGCACTGAATAAAGACATTTATCATTGTTTTTCACACTTACATCCATTGCAGCATCCCCATGATCAGTGACAAAATTCAGATGCTTGGTAACTGGTTCATATTTATGATGGGAGCAGAGTCCAGGGATCATGTGGAGTCACCTTTGCGACTTTTTGACAAGCAAAGTCAATATGGAAGCCAAATTCATTTTACAGCTATGTTACTAATTTAATAACTGCAGTAATTCACTTAACAACTATGGCATAAAACGGGGCAAAACTCATTGAGCAACTGTCTCATTTAGCAACAGAAATTTTGGGCTCAATTGTGATCGTAAGTTGAGGACTATTGTATTCTGCTTTCTGGCTGTCAGATTTTTGTTTGAAAATAATATATTACTGCATCTACCATTCTTTTCTGTTGTAGTGCTTATTTTTGGAAAAGTCTCTTCCTAAAATGTGGTTGGCCCTAACTCTGATAGCCTTTAGAAAGGCTTTAAAACTGATCTCTTTTACCCCCTGGACATTATACCAAGATCATAATGGTATATTTGTTGTTTTAATTGTAATTTGGGTTTTCTTCTAGTTTTATTGATTACGCCACCTGCAAATATGATCACCAGAGTTGAGGATTCATATAACTCTTCCAAATGAGTCAGTCAATCAGTATAGTCCATTTTACCACCATGCTAAATAGTGCTACTGTATGTTTTAGTTTGTATAATGTTATGTTGAGGGGCAAGAGTTAACAACAGTTTTCTTTATTTCTGCTAGTGAAAAATTGTTGAATCAAAATGTGAACAGTGAAAAGGGGAAGGGAGGGGGAAGTAGATAGACCGGCTAACAGTCAAAACAAAACGTTTTTCTTGTGGGAACCAAGGTTATCCCAACAGTTGGCAGTTGAAGGAGGAGAGGAGTGACCAAGCAGCCTGCCAGCTACTTTCATTGGACAATGTGACTGGTGACATCTGGGGAGGGAAATATTTGCTCTTTTAATTAGAGGGAAAACCGCAGGAACTTTTAGAGTTGTTTTTCACTAGCTGTGTCGATATGATGTATCCAATAAACATGTTCTTTGAGGAATCTACCTGCCTCAGGGTTGTGCTTTTTGCAGATGTGTTACTTGGAACGCTGACATTATTACAGTCCATGCTGTTACTCTGATTACATGGTGTATGTTTGAAATAATTTTTAAATAGTACTTTGCTTTCTTGCTACCTTCCTTAATCAGTTGCTTTTTCTGCTCAAGAGTTAAGCATTCATTAATTTTTATTCTCCTAGTGTGCCAAAGGCAGAAGAAAAAAACCTACTTTTCAATCCAAGCATCACTCAGATTTATTGTACATATTGAAATTACTTTCTAAATTATGATGTAATTTCCCCTCCCCCCTCAGGATTTGCAGATAGAACGTGAGAGAACTGCCTTCAATATATCTGGTGGTTGTACAGCTCTTGTGGTGGTGTATTTACTGGGGAAACTCTATGTGGCAAATGCAGGTGATAGCAGGTAAGCTAAATTTGTCATTTGGCTGGAAAATTGTAAGCAAAGTTTTTTAATATTTACATTTGTGTGTGTTCAACTAAAACATAAAATGTATTTCTATCCTCTTTCATGAATTTCAGTTTTCACAAAAATTAACTAATTCTGAATGAAGTTATGTTCTTTGCCACTTTCTGATGCTAAATCTTTTCTTCTGCCAGTCTCTTAGCTGACTTGAAGTTTCTGGGAGAATCTCTGAAATTTTTCTTCCCCTTCCTTTTAATGCTCTACCATTTCTTCTTGCTGCATCACAAGTTAAACATGTTTCAGTGTTCGTCTTTTTTTTTTTTTGTCAGTTGAAGCAAATAGGCTAGCAATCCAGAGTGAATGCATTAATCTGAAGTACTGAAATAACTTGTAATTATTTATTTTTTTTGCCTTGAAAATAAAACTTTGATTCATTTGGCAAATTCATATGTTAAAGTGTCCTTAAAATGGGATCAAGTCCTTGTGTGAAGGCCAGGCCAATTCCCCATCCCCACTTGAACAATACTTCTATACTTCTCTCTCTGTTGTGGTTTGTATACTCTAATTTTTAATGATTTTTTTTTTAAATTCCTTTTTTTAAAGCGCGGATTTTAGCATTGTTTGCACAAGGTTCCATTGCTGTTGTGCAATAGCATTTTTATTAGTTCTGCTAATGTTTCAGTAGTACATTACAACATAAATACAATGCATTAAGCATAATGCATATCAAGTGCATTGGCTGCCAATCTCTAAAACTATTCTGATAATACAGAATTTACAGCAAAATTCTCAGCCAAAGATTTGTATGGATCAATATATAAAATTTACTTTTAACTCCATAATCGTTTCTTTTATAAGAATTTCTTCAGAAGAATATAAGAATAAAACTTCTTTGACTGATTTATTCATCTGAGCCTAACATACTAGACTATTATGAAAATGATTAGACCTTCTATGTCTGTATAAGAAAATTATTTCAGTAACTGCAATGTTAGAGCAATCCAGATGCTAATAGGGAAGTGGCCAGGCATAGCAGCAATAGTCAGTAAATCCAAATAAAACAATTTTTAAAAAAGAAATCCAGCCCAGAACTTCTGTAGGTGTACATATTATGACTGGTACTAGTCATATTAGAAATGTACATATTTACTACATAATTATTTTTAAGCCATTTCTAGAAAATACTAACATTATGTTTAGCTATTTATGCAAACAGTTAATAGATGCACTAGAACTAGTGTATTTAATTGTAGGAGTCAATGGGGAAGAATCATACTTATACAATTTCTTTTCCTTTGTTCCTTTCCTACTGTTGCTGCTTTCTGATCCATTTAATAAATAACTTCTTGCTGAGGATATAGTAAACTCTTGTTTGTTCATTGTATCTGTCCCGTCTCTGCCTATATCACATTCAAAATACTTCTTCAAACATGCATATGTTTCTACCTCACCTATGTGAAATTCCTAATGTCTGGAACCTTTTGATAAAATGAGCACATACTTCCTGTGGTTTCAAATTCCTAACAACTGTCAAAAAGGAGTTGGTAAATGATTTCTCTGCGTCATTTCTTAGCAGATTGTTGAATCCGTTATAGAGATATGCAGTTTATTGCTGTGTTTCAAATAATTTCTGGTTGAAAAGTATGTAATAGAATCAGGGCATCCTATGAATACTTTTTCACAGCAGGAAGAGAGCGTTTTTCTTTTTCCTTTAGAGCAGGAGTGTTAAACTCGGCGGCGTCACGTGCCATATCGCAACTTTCTCCCTCTTCGCTAAACTTGGTGTGGCCAGCATGTGATGCATCCAACCTACAGGCCTCGAGTTTGACAGCCCTGCCTTAGAGCATTCAAATGCCAGATGACCTTGTAGTAATGAAATTACTCTTTCAACTCTGCAGCATGGTAGTATTTGCTCTGCAGCTTAAGCAGGATGACTTTCTCCTATAGTATTTGGATTTCAGCTTTCCCTCTTTACAAGGAGCTTGAAATCTAAGCTATATCACAGAGCTGCTAAAATATCTTTAGTGTTTTAGTACCCTGCATGTAACTTTCCTATTTGATGGTTTATGAACCAAGGTATGCTAGAATACAGATTTTTTCCTTACCTTCCTTATGAAGGTGCCCTGGGAAAAATTGGATTTGGATTATAGTTTTGGCATACTAGACAAAGTGTGATTTGTTAACTTTTATTATCAGAGAATTCTTCATGTAGCCTGGATATGACTTAAGTCTCCAAATTGAGTCTACTCCTGTGTTTTACTAAAAAGCATTATGTGATAGACTTGATTGATTAAAGTAATGAAATTAAAGTTAGTATCTGTAGGTCTGTGGAAAATTGGGTTTAGTATATTAGGGAAGTACATTATAAAGAGTTTAATTTAACAAATGAAATTAAAGAAAGAAAAATAGACATATTATATGTCTCTGAATTGAAGAATAAAGAAAGAATATAGCAACTGAAGACAAGTAATCTGGGACTTCCGCTGGCACCGCCGGCGCTGCTGCAGCTCCTTTGCGAGCTGCTACTCCCGGGATCTGTAAAACCGCCAAAACAGCGTAAATCAGCTGGTTTGGCAGCTGGAACTTCCCCCTCGGGCAAAGAGGGGGGGTGAGTGCTCAGGTGTATAGGGTAGAGCCCCCCAGAACCTCCAGGATTAAACCTGGAGACGCAGAGGGTGAGGGCTCCCCAAACGCCTGGAAAGCAGCTCCAGACTCGGGATTCTGTCTTTGACAGATTAAGGCGTCGCGACCATCCCTGTGAAACAAGTGATTTCAAGGATTGATTTTCACGCAGGCAGAACAAAACAGGAGAGCTTCTCGCAAGTATTTTTCTTTCTTTAACTCTGATGAATAATGAGTCCTTTCAGATTCGAATGAAAGCTTTAAAGTGATCCAAAATGGCGCTGATTGAGGACGGAAGCTTAAGAGGAAAGTGATTGTTAAAGCTTGTTTGCGCTTGTTAAGGTCGTTATAGCTGTCAGTACTTTGAAGCTTTGCTGAATGAAGTTTGCAGCATAAGAAAAGATGGCAGAAGTAAAGATTTTTGAAGAGAATGGAGGTTTCTCAGCAGATAATTCAACAAGTGTACAAATACTGACAGTGGATTTTGTGGATGCATGGCAAAAATCATTTATGGAAAGACTGGATGAGATCTTTGAGAAGTTTATTACTCAAATTGCTAACAAAGTTGCAATGTTGAAAGAGGAGGAAGAACAAAAAGCGGCTGAAGAACATGGAAGGGATGTTTTTCAAACTATGAATAAACTGACGGGCTTGAAGGAGGTTAATCCGGAGATATGGAGAGAGATCTATCCAGAGGTTCTGACGCAGATGAGAGGAAAAGTGCTGGGAGAAGCTTGGATTTTCAAGATATCAAGAAGGATTAGAAATGGAACATTACAATTTCTTTACAAAAATGGACTTTTAATCCTATTTAAAGAGGTGTGTTGCTTAAAAGGAATTACTTTGCGAGCTGCACAGGATTGGAAGATAAAATTACAGTTGAATACACAAAAGCTTGTAAAAATAAAAGATGGTGGAATAAAGCGGAAGAAGAAGGCTCGGAAAAAAACCAGGGGGAAATGGAAGTGGAAGAATTTTATTCCTCTTTGTTAGGCAGGATAACATGGTGAATGATTGTATTGGTATTTAAGATTTTTATTAAGGATATGATTTGTTTGGTTGAAAAAATTTTTTTTTTCTTTACTTATGACTGGGTGTTTCAACTGTTATAAAAACGGATTTTTTTAAAAAAGAAATTTTCTTTTGGATGTTAAATGACTGGATGTTTCAACTGTTATATAAACGTGAACAAGGATATGATTTCTTTGGTTATGATTGGATTATATCTAAAAATTATTTTAAGTAATGGATTAAATGAGAAATTTTTTTGGGGATGTTAAATTCAAGGCTAGATTTTTCAATATATTTTCAAGGGCTTTAAATTGTTTGTTTATTGTTGAATTAATTGGGATTAACTACCTTTAAGCAAGAAAAGTTATATTTTGTTTTGAACAAGGAGAGTTAAAGTACAAGTGATAGATAAATCTATAGATAGTTAGTTTGTGGGGTTTTTCATTAAGGTTTGTTAAATGTTTTTACCCTGTACTTGTTCTGGGAAGTCCGGGGAGGGGGGTGGGGGTTGGGATGGGAGGGTGGGAAATATATATATATATATGAATGATTGATTTTTTGTTTAAGATGTATGTTGACTATGAAATAAAAGTTTTTTTTAAAAAAAGACAAGTAATCTGGTCTTGTGGAATAGAGTTCAATATATGCTGAGAAATAAAGTGTAGTTTTAATTATGAATGACATAGCTATTGCTAACATGTATGTCAGAAGAAGTGTCATCTAGGTTGATATAAATGCATATGAAAGTACAATCGGAGCCTATAGATTACTGAGTACTTATATATCTGATTAAAGGTGAATTAAAGAATTAGATATGATGCTTGGTAACATTGCCCAACATTTTGAGTACATGTGATCTAAGGAAAAAAAATAAAATTCTGTTAGGTACTATGAATAGGTGGAATTGTTGCAGAATAAGATGATAAACTGATTTCAATATGTACAAATTCTGTCATTTCTTAAACATATACATGAAATAATTTATTCAAGATGGGCATCAAATAAATTTCATAATAAATAAACAAACACTGAAGTAAAGAAAAGTACCAAAAGGCTAGTGTCAAAAATTTGTGGTTTCTGGAAAGCAAATTCAACCTTTAGAACATGTATGAGAATGAAAACATCATAAAAAAGCCAGAGATAAAAAATAGAATGCTTTATTAAGGCAGAACATCATCATATTATGTGTTTAACTAAAGAACTGGCTCCTAATTGCATATAATATACCAAGTTTTCTTGCCATTTTCTTCTATTGGCTGTCACGGCAGTCATGCATGGGTATGACATCAGTTGTTGTCCTATAGGACCGAGTCTACTGGAAGTTTAAGCACCGCCTCCTTCTGCTTGGCTCCAGTTTTTCGACTCGG